TAACAATAATTGTCCTTTAACAGAAAACCTAAATAACATTATTTAATTAAAATATATTTAAAAGTATATACAAATTTATGTATTTTAAATTCTATAAGTAAAAACACATGGGAAAAATTCTGATTTTCACAAGTGATTTCACTTGGGACGTGTCACTTGCAAGTGATTTCATAAGTGAAAACTCATGGAAAAAATTTGATTTTCACAAGTGATTTCACTTGGGACGAGTCACCGGCACGTGACAGGCCATACGAAAAATGAGTATAAGGAACAAGTGAAATCCCGTGGGACTTCGAAAAATTTTCATTTGAATTTTCACTTGTGAAAATGCGGACATCCCATACAATTTTCTATATGGAGCGTCACTTGTTCTTCACTTGTGCAAGAGGACTTGTCCCACGGGATTCACAAGGTGATTCACAAGTGAAACTTTTTTTTTGGAACTGAAGGGCGAGTAACTCGACTATCAGATACCCGTTACTCAGATAACAAACTTTAAAATAATTTAGCCGAGCACTTTGTTCTCTCTCCCTTGCTCTCGTTTCTCGGCTCTGCTTTTGTTTCAGCGAGCGCCAAGAATGAGAGAGCAACACATAAAATAGACAAAAAACATTTATATTTATGTATGCTTGCTAAACATACACAATTTTAAAGCACATTCTGTATTTCAAAATATTTGGTTGAATAGCTTTGTTTGAAAGAATTCTATTTGCCGCGGATATTAGATTGCAAATTTTACGTCCACACACATGCATAAATACATTTGTATGTATGTATGTCGTTTTCTGGCCTAGTGTCAAGGCTTGTCGTAACTACTTTGGTTTGAGAGCATTGGACTGAAAACGGAAAAGTTTTTTTGGGACAATCTATAGGTATTTATTAAGCTAATTCATATTCTTTGAAAGAGATAAATAAAGATGTACAGATCTTTAAAGGTTTTTGACGCGCACTTTGCTCTCTCTAAGCGCCGGCAGGGCTTTTTTCTTTGCCGCTAAGTTCGGCCGGCAACTATTTACATACACACACATAGACGCGTAAAAACATTTCGCATTGTCTGGCTCTGACGTCATAGCTTTTTTCTTTGGAGGTTTGTGAGCGTTAGAGTGGGCATAGCAAAATCAATCGATAGGTATTGACAAGACTAATACATTTCAGTTAAAATTTTCTATCTAGCATCAAAACTGTAGGAGTTACAGTTTAGGGCGGTTTGTGGGCGTTAGAGAGGGCGTGGCAGTCTAGTGAAAGAAATTTGCGCTGCGTAAGAAGCTCAGGAATCTGTACGCCAAATCTCAATAGCCTAGCTCTCATAGTTTCCGAGATCTTAGCGTTCATCCGGACAGACGGACAGACGGACACGGCTAGATCGACTCGGCTAGTGATCCTGATCAAGAATATATATACTTTGTGGGGTCGGAAACGCTTCCTTCTGCCTGTAACATACTTTCCGACGAATCTAGTATACCCTTTTACTCTACGAGTAACGGGTATAAAAAGGAGTCGGAAAAAAGTGGCAATATGGCCGCACGTAGCAAAAGAAAAATCGAAGAAAAAAATGACGAAGTAATTTATTAATTGCCGTTGTCGGCTTTAATCGGACTAGGATTTTGGACAAATTGTACAGAAAGTCAAACGAATTATATTTTCGAGTGGCTGACTGCAGACCGGCAATTAATACGACGAAAAGCATTACTTATCTTATCGGCTCGAATGGATCAAAATGTACGCCGGGGGTTAGCGGGGTACCGTGGTGGCGCTGATGGAATGGCGTGGGAGGCGACGGCGGGAAACTGGCGGCGTCGGCGGGCTGCTGCGCTGGGCTTCGGCGGTTGAGAGAGAGAGTTAGAGAACAGTGAGCGGCATCATACAACAACAACAACTTATTCTTAGAACTTACACGATAATCTAGAAGGAACACAATAACATACACATACATACATACTACGACGGAGCAAACCTGCTACAATTCGGCCGTCCTGACATTTTAAGATACCCTGATCTTGTGTTATTTTACAATTGATTTCGGCTTATATTTATCTTAGTTTCTATAATTTAGTTTTGTATTTACAAATTCTTAGATATATTTACAACTTTATTTTCGTTTTCCAACCCTATGCTTAATATTTTGGCTACTCCAGACACCTTGACAAGGGCAACGCGATAATTGAAAACCTTCAACATCTTTTATCAAGTATCTATCATTTCTCGAAACTTTATCTATAACATAAGGACCCTTGTCTTTAGGTATTAGCTTCCTTGCGACTCCTACTGAGCTATCAAAATTTTTTACCATAATATAGTCTCCCACTTTGTACTCCGAACTCTTTGTCCTTTTTTCATTATATCTCTGTTCGTTGTCTTTTTGTAATTTTCTTTGCGCTTCCGAACCATCTTTTCTAATTTTGTCTAAATCCTAAACATCATCCTTCTTCTAACTTTTGTCTCAATTCATCAATAACTTTTCCTTTCTGCTCGATTCCAAACAACATTTTACTTGGCATTTGTGCTATGCTTCTTTGCTTCGTGTTGTTAGTGAAAACTCAACATCTTCCACAACTGTGTCCCAATGCATTTTCGCAATCCGTCTATAACCACAAAGAGATGTTTCTTTGCTCTTCCATTATCAACCGGTCCATAATGATCAATATGTATAATTTCGAATGGCACATTTCCTTTTGGTTTACTGTGCAACAGTCCTTCCCCATTCCCTGACTTTGGCGCATATGCTACACATCTTATACAATTTTCAATATGTCTAACCACTTTCTCTTTCATATTCGAAAACCAATACGTCCTAACAATAGCATCCATAACTTTATCCCTTCCTAAATGACCTAATTCATTGTGATATTTGTATAATATCTTTTCCTCCATCTCTTCTGGAACACAAAATAACAGCTTTCCATTATTCGACTTTCTATATATAACTCCATTCCTCATCTCAAACATTTTATCTTCCTCATTTTCTAACTTTTTTCTAACATCTTTTAATTTTTCATCTTTCGCTTGACAAATAATTAAATTATCTTCAAAGCTATTCTTTTCAACTACCATTATGTTTGTATTTCTACTTAACGCGCCAACATGTTGCATAAGTTTTCCCGATTTAGGAACTAATTCAAAGTCATACTCTAGCAATTCTAATGCCCACCGTGCAATACGGGGGTCCAACTCAATTCTATTTAACGTCAACGTCAGTGAGTTATAATCTGTGACTATTCTAAATCTTCTACCCTGCACATAAATTCTAAATCTTCTAAGAGCGTAAATTATTGCTAGCGTTTCCAGTTCAAAACTATGATACTTTGCTTCGTCTTTTGTTGTTTCTTTCGAAAAATAAAATATTGGATGAAGCTTTTTATCCTCTTTTCTTTGCAGCAACACTGCTCCAAAACTTTGTGCACTGGCGTCTGTATGCAATTCTACCTCGTCCTTGTAATAATATAATCCTAGCACTGGAGCTTCCACCAACTTTTTCTTAAGCATTTCAAAACATTGCAATTCCATTTCTTCAAATACAAATTCTTTATCCTTTTTTAACAATTCATATAGAGGTTTAGCGATCATCGAAAAATCTTTAATGAACCTTCTAAAATACGAACACAAACCCAGAAAGCTTCTAACACCGTGTACTTTGTCTGGAACGGGAAAATCTCGAACAGCTTCTATTCCTTTGTCATTAGCCTGTATTCCTTTGCTAGTTACCAAAAATCCTAAGTATTGTATACTTGCTTGTAGAAACTCACACTTGTCCATTCTTAATTCTAATTTGTTCCTTGCTAATCGATCAAAAACTTCTCTAAGAACACTTAAATGCTCTTGCATTTCTTTACTCGCAATCATGATATCGTCCATGTATATAACTACCTTACCATCCCTTATCATGTCTGCAAAAATCTTATTATCTTATCGTTGAAACACCGCTGGTGCATTCTTCAGCCCCATTGGCATGCGCATAAACTCAAATTGTCCTAAAGGCGTCATAAATGAGGTATATTTTATCGATTCACTATCTACAAACACATGAAAGTAGCCATGCTTTAAATCTAATTTCGAAAATATTGTGTTATTTACTAATGTATCTAATAAATCGTCAATCAAAGGTAAGGGATAATTATCTTCCACCATAGTCTTGTTAAGCTTTCGGTAATCTACACATAGTACGACTAGTCGCCTGACTTCTTTTTAACTAACAGTATTGGAGATACATACTCAGATTCACTTGGCCTTATAATTCCTTATCACCTGTAATTTTTATTTCTCTGTGTAAGCTCAACTTCTGGGCGAACAACTGAATGGTTTTGAATCCTCTAATCTTAATTTCATTTCGCATCTAACCTCCGGTTCCTTTGGCCTTTTTTTATTTACATAACAACTTTCTACCATCCTAACAATCTGACACCTAACATTATAATTCACATGATCACCAACTTTGTATTCTACACTTTCATCCGTTAAATTTATATTAAATAATTCCTTTTCCACTAGATTTATTTCCGGCTCAATTTAATTTTTATTCATAACTTCTTTCTCATCTCTGATTTTACTACAAATTTCTTTAATTGTTTCCCTGCTGTCCCTAATTCCATGATTAACATCGCTAAAAATTGTATTTTTATCCCTAACAATACTAACAACATCGCTAATTATTTGCTTTTCATCACTAAAGTCATCGCTAACTATCTGCTTTTCATCACTAACATCATCGCTAACTATCTGCCTTTCATCACTAACTTCATCGCTAATTATCTGCTTTTCATCACTAACTTCAGAATGATTTTCAATATTCTCAACCGTAACCATTTTCAAAGTGTCAAGGCTTAAACTTAGATTACTAGCATCCATAAAATCTCGTCCCAAGATTACGTCTTTACTCATAGATTCATTTGCCACAATAACTAAATTAAAATGTACTTTATTTAAATTTTTCGAAACATAACATAATATTTTTCCATAAGTTTCTAGGTAACTTTTGTTTAAACCGTAATATGAACTTAAAACTGGTAATTTCGAAATGTCTTCTGGCACTTTGGATTTTTTAGTAAATGAAATTGGGCTTCCTGTATCTATGAGACATTCTGCAATTAACCTGGTATTAGAATCGTTTACAAAATTAATTTCAACATATCTTACATATTTGTTTTCGCCCTCGTTCTTGTTTTTGTTTTTCAAACATTTCGCAACAAAGTGTCCCATCTCGCCGCACGCATAGCACGATCCTTTCTTCCGCTTTGATTTCCTGCACTCGTACGCCCAATACCCTTTGGCATTGCAATTGAAACAACTAGTCTCCTTGCTGTCCTTGGGATCCGTTGATGTCGTCGGCCTGCCAACTCCATATAGCTTTGGCAAGCTTACATCCGCAAACGCCCTCTTTATGTGCCCAACATCTACAAAGCATTGAATATGCGCCTGGTTACGTAGCCCTTGATTGGGGATACCTTCGATGATGCAGCTCAACATTTCATCTGCATCAATAATTATGCCCTGAGCAATCATTATCTGGTCGTCGACATAACTCCCGAAACTTTCGCTTTGTTTCCATTTGCGCCCTTCGAATTTGCGTCGTATCTCCAACTTCGATGATTTTCCGCCAAACGTTGAGATCAGCTCTTCCATTAGGTCATCCAACGGTAGCAACACGCGGTCTGAATCTGCGTGCAGCCACTCATAAGCTTTTCCCTTTATTTTGCTCAGCATTAGCAACAAATTTTCCTCTTATTCCATAAATGGTCGCGATATTTTGCACTTGAGTAGTCCATTTGCGGGCACACGACTCGCCAGAAAACTCACTCAACACCTGGGTTGCCATGCCCAACGAGACGTCGACGCTCTCGTTCAAATTTTCCACCACCGCTTTACGTTCGCTGCTTTTTGCGTTTCTAGAATTGTCTCCGGCCTGGTTGTGCATGTCGTCTTCTGCGTAGTTGTCGTTCCTTCCGCCGTCTTCGTTTTGTTCGCCGCCTTTTTCGTTGCTCCGTTTGCCTCTAATTCTGAGAATGCTGCCAGCCACTTCGTCATTCGCTTCACCATCTTCGCCGTTAGTTTCGCCGTCTTCTTCGATGTAATTCTCAATGCCGCCGTCGTAGCTCTGGATGCCGCCGTCTTTGCCGTTACATTTATCTCCGTCTTTGCTGTTACTTCTGTCGCCGCCTTCTTCGAAAATTTCGTCGCTGCTGTCATTGCCCTTACTTTTGTCGCCGTCTTCATCATTTTTTGTTTCGCCATTTCATCAACCTTTCCACGAACTTCCTTTGGTACTTTATTTAGCCGCAAGATCAATTCCTTTTTCGTTCCGGTTGTTGATAGCTTCAACACACTCAACCACCTTTTTAATTGTGCGATCGAAGCGTTATTTAATTCCATTTTGAT